CCGTAAATTTAAAATCTGAAACATTTTATGTCCAGTTCTCTAGGTGCTAATCACCGTAGATGTGGTCTCAGCTTCGAAGTGTGGCGGAGAATACACAAGATAAGAAGTTCGACACAAACCTTGAGGATGTAGTTATTCTTATTCATTTGCCAGTGTTATTTGAAAATCGATTTTCGTCTTCAGGAATTTGTAGTGTGCTAATTCATCAGTCATGAAATGGAACTTGTATGTGTGTGAGAGTGGGGGAAGAAGTCCACAATATCGAATAGTGATCAATCAGGAAAATTGCGTCAATCGATTTTCTATAATCCTTCTCATCGAAAAATTTTCATTCCGGCGAGAACACAATGCGTCTCATAGCAATAGGCCGGTATGATCTGTAATACATTTAAGGATTTCATTCTATTTCCTTTCTAAATTGTCCAACCCTTTCCAATTTTAAATAATTCGGTCCCATCGTAGGGAGATCTGTACGTGTATTTGGTTTATCTTTTTATATAACTGTCTAGGGTAACAAGAGGATCAGAAAACCCAAACTTCGTACTGTCCGGGCTTTCAAGGATTACCTAACGTACTTTTAGGTCAATACAATCTAGTTTATGCAATTATTTCCACAATACAGGATATATGCCCATTCTGTCCGTATACTAATAACGGGAAATACTACTAGTTGTGCATTCGTTGTACTAATTGCACTAGCTATACACCATTTGTGTTTAGCTTTGCAAATAGGCTTGGGCGAAACATCTCTCAGTTTGCATTCGACGGATACACACAAATATGTAGTCAACAGTCAGTTTAAAACCGAATGCATATGTGCTTCTTCGTTTATACAGCTAAACATATATGATGAACTTAACCACAACTATATAGCATTATCAGTCTCCTCAACAGTGATCCGTCCAATTTGAATTTTGGCCATTAAAACCAAACTTAACCAAAATCAGTGATCAAATGGGACAGTGAGCAGGACGGATTCAGAAGAGTTTGTCTGAGAAATCCTGCCTCGGTGGATGTCTCAGGGGACCCAGGACATTGTAATGGTGGAGCCTCGTGGCGGATCCCATCATTCTCTGCTTGTTATGACTTGATTTTCTCTCAAGTCTTTGTGTGTTTGTGCGCGCGTTANCGCGCGTTAGTGTTGGGATCTGCATGCCGCTCTCTACCCGTCCGTGTGTGTGTGTGCGCGCATGTCTGCTTTCGGATGCACGCACAACAAACTGTGTAGTTATCCGGCTTTGTGGATGATGTTTTGGCGAATTTAAACCAGTTTCACTTTGCTGGTAATGTCCTTTTGTACGCGTGTGTAAACCTAATTCGGCTTGAATTAGAAAAGCACCATCACTGAAGTGACTGTGAGACGTTGATGTCACGGAGAAAGTTTGTTTTGGGGGAGGGATGGATGGCTGTTGGGTATCGTCAATGCTCTCGGGCGATGGCGACTCCACAACAGATATGTTCAGTACTAATTTATATTGATCTACCGATTCGCTCACTCAGACATGTGTATGTCGTAAATTTGAAATCGAGACCTATTAGTTGGGATTGTTTACGCCTACTTCTCATTCAATTCGAAGGTAAATAGAAAACAAAAGATACTGAGGTCACGTGGTCCTATAATAATAGAATAAGTTTGTTGAGATGAAAATTCTTTCGAGTATTCTGTTCTCGCCGAACCATATAAAAATAACAGTAATGTTGCCAAAGTTTACAGACTACACGTTCTGGATAAATGAACGCATTTTTCTAAACAAAACAGTTATTTTTCGCCTACAATCGTGCTGTCACATAATGCTTTCCCCAATCAAGCAACTTCCCGTAAAAAGTAAATACATTCGTGCCCAAGATTTTTCGATCAATGCGGTATACCTCATATCTGGAATCGGTGTTGCTTGGGAATTCTGGTGTCTTTTAGAGGTCAAGTATTCGTTCGCTATTCACAGTTCCCCCAATAGACTGAAACCGGAGCTGATGAGAATTACCAATTTGACTTTATTTAGATATCACCTTAAGTGATCATCACCAAGATCCTTTCACTCGACGGCAATAGCGGTGGATGCACTCGGAGGAGCTGTTCAAAAGGAGTGATCCATTCCTCAAACCTTTTGAATATTTTTCATTCAGTAGTTCTCAGTTTTTGCCAGAGAATCATGTACCATTTGCACGTTTCATATGCACGGATTGGAACCGAAAATGTATCTCGGAATAAGACCAGATTTCAACCCTAACTCGTTGTTGCATATTATTGGCTGTATCTTTAGACTACTTTTTCACATTATTGACACAATTATCATTAGTTTTCATCACACTGACTTTATGATTCAACAGTATTTTTCTCATTCCTCCGAGAAGGAATTTAGAATTGTCACATCAATCTTTATTTTTATTTGTGCGTATTTCCTTGATAAAATTTGCTGAACTGCTAGACACGATAAATGATTTATATTTTTTTATGTTTGGCCATTTGGCTTTAAAAATGTTCTGACGAGCCCACGCATACCTATAATGGCCAGTTCTTGAAATTCAATAACCAATCTCTTTTATCACAGTTTTCCGTAGCAGAAACAAAGGGTACAGATATTTACCATTAGTCTATCCCTATTTCATACTGTTAGAAAAGATCCAATCACCGATCAACCACGTACAAATTTTCTCCCAGTGGCAGTTGTTACACATCTATCATGTGCCATACTCCGTTGGTATTTTTGTGTCACGTTTAGGAAAATGATTCATCATTTTTGAAAAGAGAGGCTCCATAGTTGCACAAATTCGACTATACAGTAGAAATAATACACTATCATCGACTTTTAGAAAAAAGTTTTCTCATTCACCCTGTCACTTATCGTCAACAATCGATTTTCACGATCGATAATGGATACGCAACACATTGTTGCAAAATACAACTTCACAGAGAATTGTGGGTGTGATAGATCACCCAGGTCGTGTTTACAACAATAGTCACACACTTCGTTTCTACTCCGTTGAATATTTATATGCACCTATTCGCGATTCGGTTACATGCAACTCCCAAAGGACAGAGGTTTCCAGGTCTTTTGTATTCAAATTGTTCCTTTCGATTTCGTTTTGTTCACCGTGTTCCATTTACACAATGCTGAGCGACCACCCCGGTGACGAGAACCGTTGTGCGCTAACTGAATGGTGAATAATTCAGACCACGGTCAATAGGTAATCAGATATCAAAAATGGGAGAAACAATTCATTCTCTGAGATTCCGTTTCACTTGCAGTACCTTAATCGCAGCCCTGTCATCTTGGGCTGGACACTACATACGCGCAAACAAGTCCTCCCCGGGGAACCCAGCATAGGCTTACAAACAGCAAGAATTCTCAGCACTGATAAAGGCAATTGGTAAAACTCACGTTCGTTGAATAAGAAAAGGTGCTTTTTTGATTGTTCTTCATGATCAATGCGCACTATACTCAAACTCTATGGTTAGCCCCATTAACGCTGCACTTGAATGAACATTTTCCTTCTCTTCATTCCCCTCGTTTCCATCCCGTCACTGGCTTCCTGTTCCCGCTCATTGGTGCGCCCAATGCTCAATCTGTTTCACCACTTTACCAATCCCTTGGGTCCGAAACGCGGGCNGAGTGTCTCGGGCGTGTTTACCACGTTACGGGTGTTTCGTGTCTTCCGAGTGTTCAAGTTCTCTCGTCACTCCGTCGGGCTTCGAATTTTAGGCTACACGTTGAAATCGTGCGCTTCCGAGCTCGGATTCTTGCTGTTCAGTCTCACTATGGTCATCATCATTTTCGCCACAGTGATGTATTATGCGGAAAAATCGGTCGAGGGGACCACGTTTTCCAGCATCCCGTCAGCTTTCTGGTACACTATCGTCACAATGACAACTTTGGGGTAAGTATGTTGTGGACCTGGTGGGTTCACAAGTGATACAAATCACGAAAAGTCTTTGACTGGTACTCATGCGGATGCTCAACAGAGTGCTAAATGTGATTGTTCTCGTTCGTCAGGACCGGTCAGTAGAAAAAGAAGGCGTATTCATCTGAACGGTGCGTGATTGCATAATATGCTAACGGTCAGGATTCCATAGAAACTGTCGGATTACAATCAATTACAAGTTCTGTAATATCATCAGAGAACGTATAATCAAATATTAAAAAAATACATAAAATTTTATAGGAAAGTGAAGCTTTCTGTTCGATTTTCGGATTCTAGAAAACAGACGGTAGCTGAAGTGCTACTGGGGACGAATATTCCTCTGGAGTGGGATTTTCGTTCAAGCTAGTTGTTGTTGTAATGTCAGGGTAACAGTCATTTTGAACACCTCAAATCTAATGACTGTTGATCAATTTGTTATTCAGGACAGCAATTAAACATTGCAATAGGGAACTCCTTTATTGGTGGGGAGTGGGCGGTGGAGACGAACGGTGAGGATATGATGGCGATGTTAATAACCTGACCAACGTCAAATGTACATTATCTTGTAAGGTGACTGGTTCTAGTTTCAAACATTTAGCCTGAGCCGGTTCATTGTAAAAAAACACGACTAAAGGGGGCATAAAGGCTCATAAAAGGTGCAAAATGATCACATGTGCATACGCCGTACTCTATTGTCAGTTGTCGTTCCAGGATGCCGATGAAGTTAAAGTCTAGTGGATGGCTTGAATTCAGTCATCAACGTGTCTCTCGTGGGAAGGATAGGTAACCGCCTTGAAAGACAAATGCTTCATCCCTACCACATCTGCCTTCATACACTTGGTGTTGGAGTTACGAAAACGGAACCGGGGACAAGAAAATGCATCGCTTATTCGGCATCGGTAAATGATCTCACAGGGAGGCCGCTTGCGCTCAACTCTCATGCACACCGAATTTTCCAGTATATAAAATTGAATAGAATTGGATAGTTCGAGTACGTCTGTGCGCAGAGGGAGTTCTTCTCATTTCTGCAACTATGCATTGATGCTTAGTAGGAGATGAACGGGTTGCGAGAATCGGCATCTGGACACGGGATTAAAGTGAACTTCGTGATTGGAGTGTCTTGTGTCAGTTTATGAAATGTAGACTCATTTATATAGGTTTCCACGGGCATTGATGGAAGTACGTAGTTAACGAAATAACCTGCTTCACGGGCTTTACATGCACATATTTAAATTTTGGATGTATTTTCAAAATCGACTTCATTATGGGCAACAAAGTAAAACATTTGAATTCGATCTTCCAACGGGTTGGTGAATGACACGCCTCAACAATAGCGATTCATGAACTATATACTAACACACTCGAAATGCCTAAGGATCATTGATTCGCGCGAAATCCAGTGAAGTACTACTGGTCCCAAGGTGGTGAAATAATGGAAGAGAATGGAAGAGAGAGAGGAATAATTGGTAGGAAAGTTTACTCCTTTATCTAAATACTGCTGCTCAATCAAACTCCACGGTAAGATGCGAGAGGTCATGCAAACACTTTGGGGTTGGGGGAAGTGAATAGGGAAACGGCTGATCACGTGAAGTATTTTTTGGTCAAGAAGAGAAAAGGGAACATAAATATGATCCCCGAGCACGAGTTGTGGACACCGGCGCGTTTGGTGCGACACAGGTCGCTCACAACTGGAAAGCTGCGATTGACTTCCAGGGGCACAGAATGCGGACTCGGGAAGTTTGAAAGAACACAACACAAGAAGAAGTAAAAAAATGATTTATTCTTGTTGTATTACTTTTCATTTCCGTAGGAAGGCGGTATATATATATGACTTTTCGGAAATACTATTTGCCTTAAATAATTGCTGTTGTACACCTAACACTTTTGTCAGATACAAGCGAAATATACACTTTTAAGAGATCGATCCTAATCACTCACATATCTTCAAATCAATGTCCGATTATGATGTCCTTGACATTTCTGGGAAATAAATGCAACAGCGCTGTGCAGTGTAGCTCGAAGGATAACGTGCTTTAACAAGAGCTTGCTAACAAGTGATTTCTGTTTTTGTAATCCTCATCGGTGATACAAATCTAAAACAAGTGATATCTGAATTGGATATACTTACCTCGGTGACCTAAGGTTGTACACAAACGGGTGTTTGTTCGCAATTAAAAAGACCCGGAGATCCGAATGATCAGTGGCATACAAATATGAACTGAACTATTTCGCAGACAGTCTGAGGCATTGAACACACGATCGTCTCAAGTAGAACGAAAGCCCAACGGACCACTTAGCGGCAAGTCAAATAGCTGTATTTTGTTTCTATTGGTGTTAACATCATGCAAGTAATATTTGAATGCGCTAGGCTTTGGTTTTATGGTCATACTTTGAATAGGAACACTTTACGGGAAATCAAATATTTCTAATTAATTGCGATGCTAATTCCGATTTATTAGATGTGAAGATATTACTATTTTTAGTCTGACGTCCACCCTGTTCAATGAACTGCTAAATAGAGTTTGTACACTATTTTTGCATGTTTTTGTTTACTGCTAAAAAAACTGAATTATCAGTAGGGTTACATGTGCTCAGATTTCGGCACGGGTCTCTTCAGGTTTGAACAAAAACTCATAAAATTCTGAAAGGTGATTGTCTGAAAAATGATCGTCTCTCACTCATCCGCTGAACATATTCTGCATCTTGACCGCACACGTTCGAAGCAGTTTTAATGTTCTGTATGATTTTCTCGATTTTTTTCGTTCCCAAACTGCGTTTGTCATATTGTGCGCTCTGTAATTCGTTCTACAACAACCAGTTATGGTGACATGGTTCCGGAGACAATTGTGGGGAAAATTGTGGGCGGAATGTGCTCCCTGTCCGGGGTTCTTGTCATTGCTCTGCCCGTGCCTGTCATTGTATCGAATTTTTCACGAATCTACAATCAGAGTCAACGGTCTGACAAACGTCAAGCGCAAAAGGTTAGTCCTATTGGGTTATGACTCTTAACGAAAATGTGAACAACTGTCAGGTCGTTCGTGTTGTATCTATCGATTTGCTATTTTTATCGTGCAACTGTACACGCACACTCACACACAAACACACAGACACACACACACAAACGTATATTTGTGTTCGCTTCTTACGTGAACTTTATGAGGGTAATTACCCCCAAAAGAGCAATTTGATGCAAGTCAGCCATAAGTTTTGTTTTACTTATGAACGCTCAATAAATGAGGAGATAGAAACCTCAGTATAAGCATCCGATTATCGGGTACTAACTCAAAACAATTGTTCAATTCCATGGAAGTAATAGAAACAGACAACGAATACAGTTTCAAATACAGTGCAGTAAACATGCTGACAGTTCAAGCACGACAATGGAGTGAAACCGACACTCAAAAGACCAATAAACATTCCCTGGTACCAGTAGAACTAAAAAGAGGCTAACTGTATGATGAAAAAAATAGTGCTTTTGGTAAACTACTTGCATAACTTAGCCAAATAATAATGTTCAATTTGTTATTTGGTAGATTTGGAGTTTTTTATATCGAGACTATGAAAAGTTCAGTAGCCTCATTGGGATCCGAACCCACGAATGCACGCCGCCTACGCTTCGTACGCGCACGCTCTACCAGCTGAGCCACGAGGACACATCGATAGCACTGATCTTTTCACATTCGGATTACTCATCCAACTTACAGAAGCATATCGCATTCACCAGTTAGCATGTAATCTGACTGCTCCGACAGGTTTTCCTTAGAATTCAACGGAGTCCACCGAATGAGCTTTTAAGTCAAGGTTAATTATTCAGATTGTTGTTTGACATATTTGAAGCTTTTTTGGAAGGAAAATTCCGTCCGCATAATTGCATACTGGCCGTCATGTGAGAAAAAATGTTTTTTTTTATTCAGCAATTTGATTAGAAGAAATATAAGTGCCTTTAGAACATTCAACCTAGTTGAGCACAAAATGAACTGAGCTTTTCACCACCACCTTATCCAGCTGTTACGCAAAGGTGACACGAGTGACCTTCAAACCGCTTTGTTTTAATGCAGAACAGAATGCTTTTAAAGCCTTTTGTACTTACACTGTAAGCTGGACAATGACTATTCAACCATGGATCTGACCGTATGGCTTTTACAAAGACACTGGTCAGGTATGAACAGAATGTATCATGCCAAATCGGTAACATTTTTAGTCGATGCTGCAGTCACTGTTCCCCAACACGTATTCTTTATCTGAAATTGGAATATACATGATACATTTCAACTTGACTGATATGCACACATTTCATTTAAAACATTTATGTCCTGCTCGTCATTCAGATTATGATTTGAGCGGAAAGAACGTTTTACAATGCTCACAACAGGAAACGCCACTTATTTAACTCGTGTTTCATTCCCTCTCAAATGCAAACGATTGTGTTTGGCTATGACGAAAACCGAAATGAAATAATCAAGTTTCTTAATCTTGATGTACCGACAACAGTCACCGTTTGAAGTGGCCGCCAAAACTGGTGAACAGGGTAAACGTAGATTTTTGCGAACAAACAACGGTTCCAAGTGGTACTTAACCGAATGATTTCGAATTCCATGAGCTCCGGCATAATTCACGAAGAAATGAAAGATTTTAAATAAATATTATAACAAAACCTGAGTAGAATCAGGAAATATAAGAAATTTACCAAAATATCGTCGTTGTGTCCAGTTACGACATTCTCATTGCTTTGTTCGACTTACTGTTTGACTGCTTGCTGTAATGCGAACAGGCAGGAACCCAACCTGATAAACACTTACATGCCCTGGATTTGGAAACCGTGTTTCAGCTAGGATCGGAGGTTGTACATTTTCTGGTTTATTCTTGCTTCCTATATCATCCATGGTATCTGTTTCATTTCAAATCGTTTCCGTTATCTGGATCGGTTTTTAAACTCAACTCGCAGATCGGGCTATGTTGCGGTGTAGGACAAAGATTGTTCACTGAACACTTCGATCCAGTTCTGAGGAAAACCGGGCGAAGTTTGAAGGCAATTCCATATACTCCCCCCCCCCTTCCGTTTTTCTTCCGCCCGACCCGGTTTCTTCCTTGGAAATGATGTGTAGTGAACTGTGATAACGTGACCCTTCGATATTTACTTGCTTCTTGCGAAACTTCAAAAAGTTTGCGATTTGCACACAAGTTCGAGAGCTCCCAGTTTAGGTTCATTTAACACGCAAACAGAAGAAAAGAAGAGATTTTTGTCGCAGAAAGTCGTCCTTGCCTTGATCCAAATTTAGAACAATATATGGATTAGGAATGAAAACATTTGTGCTAAGAAACTGAGTACAATTTCCAGATAGCGATCAGAAAATCTTATGAAAATTGATTTCTGTTTTATGCTATAATACTCCAAAAACCGTTCGTTTTTCTTCAGCGTGCACGTCAAGCTCGTATTCGACTTGCCCAAATGATGGCCACAGTAAATGCAAGCGAACATCACTCGGATTCAAGCGAGGATGATCTGGGAGGATTTCATCGTCTGAAAGGTTTACTGCATCGCTCCAAAGATGGCAGCCCAAAACACTACGGTCACACGGATAGTTCCCATGAGCTATTGACTGGTAGCTGGGCTGAAATGAATCATGATACACAGAGTAATATAGCTCAAGTTCATCCACAACCTTACAAACAGACATTAAATTCAAGTCATCAAAATGTTCACCTCGAACGACATGTACTCGTGCACACGGATTCGGATGGTTCAATCACAGACAGTAATTTGACGGGTTCAGCCCCAAGATCTTCGGCCAAGTGGACAGGTAACCATGCTTCAAAAACCAAATCGTTTCCATCAGACGAAGTTGTTCGGCGTGTGGCGTCCGACATGCCCGAACCGGTCGAAGCGGTACAGGAAGAAAAAAAGAAAGTTGCGCCGACTGTTTCGGTGATTGAAGAGTCATCTCAGGTTGGTTCATCGTTGGAATTTTTTAAAAATTATGTACTGTAGTCTAATGAAAGGTAAAACGGGTAATCACGACGACCTACTATTGATTCATGGGGACTGACAGCCTAAGTGTGGGAATTTGAAGTGGCAAATAAACTAGAGTTCCCTGGCATTGATAGCATACATAGGTTAAACACGGTGAAGCCCCCTCACACCAAAGTCGGGTGGCGGTAGACTGACTCAAACCTAGGATCCTCCTGTACAAAACACACCGGGAACAGCGGCTTCAAGTGGTCCTTTTTGTGCACGCATCAAGTTTATTGTATAGATTTTTCATAATGTTTTACACTATGTATGGATATGAAGATGAAGACTGAAATTCTTTTAAGTATGTGAAATAGGTCTAGAACATACCAATATTGTGTCGACTTCGACAGCATGCCGTTACGGTAACTCTTTAATGAGTTTGACTCCACTAAATTTTGCTGTTTTATAAAAGGACTATATGTCTAACCATAAAATGTAAACCCAAGGGGTGTAAAAGCTCGTTTTCTTAAATAATGTTTAGAAATGCTTTATGGTTTTGTTACGTTTGCCAATAAATGCTCCGAAAGAAGTAGGAAAACGTTTTTTAGCTCAAATACAATCTGGTGTAACAGGCCATAGGAAAGGTTGCGTTAGATTCAGAATCACAAGCGTCTCGAATGGCGGCTATACTGCGCTTGTCGTTTTTTGACTTCAGCTTATTGCACTTATATTGAGTAGTTGTTTGATGCACAGTTAACAGGAATTCGATCTCCACAATGACATTTGGACAGGTTAATCAGTTTACGCGAGTTAAGTTTTCATTTGGAAATGAGAAAACACGTTTGAGGAGACCGATCGCTCTCAGTGGTTCTTCAGTCGGTCAAATGTCATTCTGAACATGAATGGGGACCACGATTTGGGTGCATCGCGTTGTAAACGACCACGTAGACCCGAATCGTGGTTGGTGTCCGGTTAAGCTAGTTGCAATGCGAGTGAGCTAGCTGCTTTGTCGACTTCGATTTATTTAGTTTTAATCCGTCAGTGGTTAGTATGAAACCCCAGATGCATGAAACGGGTGACGGGGATGTTGTCTGCGGCCGATTCGAGATGTAGATTCAGTTTTCACTTAACAGCATTTGTGTCAACTAGACGCTAGGTGCTTGGTTTCATACCTGCTCGGGCATACTCCAAAGCGTGGAAGGTTCTTTGTTCTTTTGAGACAATTCGTAGAATTGACTTCAATAATTAAGCTTTGTGTTGGTGATATTATTTAGGATAATCGTTACATTGCTTTACCGAAATCATGAATGTGTCTTGTTTTTCCATTAGTCAGATGTGTCAGTATACTTGATGGTTGAACGATTGTAAAAGATTAAACGCAACTCAAGTGTGACAAAATAACATAAAAGCAACCAACTTTCCTTAGGTACTTCAAAAACCTTGGTTATTTACCCTCGATCTCGATCGAGACAACCAATTTAGCTTCATTGTCTCAGTATAGGTTGTTCAGACTATGTTAGCGTTTTACAAAATAGAAATAGTATGAACTATGTTCATTGCAATGTGCTGTTCTGAGGTAAATGTGTAACAACGTACAGGGCTCCATACATCGTAAAGTGAGTTCTCCGTGAGCTCAATTCTGTCGCAAATCACGTGGCTAGACACAATAATTTGTGCACGTTTCCATTCCTCTGTTGTACCGCACATAAAGAGCCGATACAGGAAAGAATCTGGTTCTGGGGTGATCTAGCGACGTTACCACCGGACACGTGGGTCATCGTTGTGGATCACACAATTTATCTTCCGATGATAAATGCACGAGTTAAAAATTATTTTCTTTTCGGTTTGTGACCGTAATTTCATGATTCTGGATTTTGTGCCGAACTAATAGGGTAAGTAAACTTCGGTAATTACACCTATTTTTCCCAAATTCTCATATACCCCACGTCGATTGGTGCTTTTAAAATCCAGAATGTCAGTTCCAAGGACACCACACCGC